ATCTATGGTGTAAAAGTCATTTTTAATAGCTATTGTGGGTGTTATTCTTAATAGTTCTTCCTAACTCCCAGTTTCCCATTAGTCACCAGATAACATTAGTTGTACATTAAAAATCTATCTTGATTTGACTACTCATGTCCATTTTCACCAAGCCACTGATGACCTCTCAGGAATCTGGATTATTACAGCAGCCTAATTGTCCTTTCTGACTCTTCCTGTATCAGTCAGTATTCATATGCATACATAAGAAACACTTGAGCTATTTTAAGCAGAATGCAATTTAATAAATGTGGGCTCACTCAGTATACATTCCTGAACGTATACTGAACTGGTTGCTACGGCTGGATTGATGATCAGCTGTGGCTAGGAAATTGTGTGTGTTGATATGTTACTGGTTTTTGAAGAGTTTTTCAGCAGTATTTACCTTCTTAAGGAAGAGGCCAGGGGCATTTATTGTTGCATGAATGGCAATGAAAGAGGGCGGTGCCTAGTCATAAATGTTGATGTACAGTACACATTATGCGCGTGGCTGTACCTAATAAGGCTTCAGACCACTTTAATGAAAATCTGTTACATTTTAAAAGCTGATTTCATAATTTTAAGATCTTACATTGAATTTAAAATGTAAAACTATGAAAAAATTTAATAAGAATCTCTAAAAATGATGCTAAAACATTTTCCCAAAAGCTGTCAATTTCATACTGCCATAGAAAAAGTACTTTTAAATTATGTACAATTCAATTATTGCACAGGAATTTACAATTTTATGCAATGTTCTTTGAGACACTGTTAATATTATAGCCTCTGTTGTCATGGAAACAAGTCTCTAAAGGCAGCCTCAGAGGCTAATGATTCCATGGTGTTGCTATGGATAGAAACAACTGAGACTGTTGTTAGTCACATGGTCATGATTTAAAAAGAAAACTCTTTGGAGCTGATCTTATTGAGTGATACAAATGGAGCAGGAAAAGGATGATGGTATAATAGTTACCACTGTCTAATGAAATATATATATAAGATTTTTCAGGTTTAAAATGCTTATGCTGAATTTCCCCTTTTCTGTAATAACCCAAATATAATGGTTACTGTATTTTGCTACCTCATTGTTTACATTAGAATCTAAAGCGTGACATTTTCCAATTTAGAATCTTCTACAACTCCCCAGAATTTTACCCTGCTCTAAATCCTGCGCTTAAGATATCCTCTTACCTTTTTATTTTACTCTATTATCAGATCTAACATCTATGCTGTTCCACATCACTCAGCCTTCCTTTGACTACCTATTATTTGTTTAGGGCTATATTTTTGTTTCAGATGAACTAAATGAATTACTTTGTTGTTCTATAATTCTTTGTTACCTGAATTGATTATCAGCTGTGGCTAGGAAATTGTATGTATTGATACATTACTTGTTTTTGAAGACTTTCTCAAAAGGATTTGCCTTTCTTAAGAAACTGGCAGAAGCATATGTTCTTTTTCAAAGTACTTGTTCACTGCCCTATAGAGAGTGGGGTGGATTAAGACGGTGTAAGTTGTTTTAGGATTTTTTAAAAATGGTATTCAGATCCTTATCTAAAGGAGGTAGATTTTAGAAGAGGCTTAGAGCCAAGGTTACAGTGATGTTTAAATGTAATATTAAAGGATTTATAGTTTATCATAAAGGGTTTTGGAGAGCAGCTGCCTAGTGGAGGAAGTTTTTGTGCTTGACCTTGAAATTTGACATAAGCATTTAGCTCTGTCTTATTTTTATGTTAAAGTAGATTATTGATCAGCTAATATCTGACCCTATTTAAGAGGCATAAGGAAACTTTAGAGGTGATAGATATGTTACCTTAATTGTGGTGATGGTTTCACAGGTTCATGCATATGTTCCAAACTCATGAAGTTGTTTACATTAAATAGGTAAAGTTTTTTATATATCAGTTATACTTCAATAAAGCTGTTAAAAAAAATGAAGTTATTTAAAAATAATGATAAACTTTGACTTTTTTTCTTTGATACTTTGGATGACTGCAGCAGTTATTTTGTAGTATCAGTCCATTTGGGTTTGTCTGATGTTTGGTGATTGGATTTAAGTTATGCATCTTCGACTGGAATTTCTCAGAAGTGATAGGTTCTTATTATATCCTATCAGGTAGCATGATTTTGATTTGTCCTATCCTTGGTAATGTTAACTTTGATTAAGATAGTATCTGCTAGATTTCTTCACTGTAATTAATAAATGTTTTTAAGACCCACTTGAGTGGGTCCATGTGTCCTATTTAAACTTTCATCTACTGGAATGAAATGGAAGGTTCATTCAGCAGCAGTGGAATTTTTACATCCATTGATGTTTTTTTGAATGTATTATTTCTGTGATGGTTGCCAAGTGATGATTTTATAATTCCAGAATTTCTTCTACATCTTTTAGTTGGCATTCTACTATAAGGAAATGCTTTCTCTTCTTTTCATTTGTTTTTATAATTATTAAATCAATATGGACTCTTGGAATCCTGTTTTTATTCGGTGTATGCCATTGTTATCTTTATTTTGAATCTCAAATCCTGTTTTTATTTCAGTGTATGCCATTGTTATCTTTATTTTGACTGATGAAAACCCTTCAAGCTAACTCCTGTGTCTTTTGTTATATCACTTGAAAACATAATGTTTTCAGTATACATCCGTGTTATACCATGTGTCAGAATTTCATTCCTCTTTATGGCCGAATACTATTCATTATATGTATATATGTATATATACATACACACACCACATTTTGTTTATCCATTTGTCTGTTGATGGGACACTTCAGTTGTTTCCACCGTTTTGGCTGTTGTGAATAATGCATCCTGAACGTTGTGATGTAAAGTATGCAAATCCCTGTTTTCAGTTCTTTTGAGTATGTATACTTAGAAGTAGAATTGCTGGGTCATATGGTTGCTATGGTTAGCTTTTTTGAAGAACCATCAAACTGTTTTCCACAGCAGCTTACACCATTTTCCATCCCTACCAACAGTTTTTGGGGATTTCAGTTTCTGCACATCCTCGCCAACACTTGTTTATTTCTGTTTTTGTTTTTCTTTTTTTATTACAGCCTCCTAGTAGGTGTGAAGTGATATATTGTTGTAGCTTTGATTTGCATTTCTCTAATGAATAATAATTTGTTGAGTATCTTTTCATGTGCTAATTGGCCATTTGTATATCTCCTTTTGGAGAAATGACCACTCAAGTCCTTTGCCCATTTTTTAATTGTCTTTTTGTTGTTGAGTTGTAAGAGTTCTTTATATATTCTGGCTATTAAACCCTCATCAGATGTATAACTTGCAAACATTTACTCCCATTTTGTAGGTTGTCTTTGTACTTTCTTGATAATATCCTTTGGTGTACAAAATACTTTCATTCTGATGAAGTCCAGTTCATTTATTTTTGTCACTTTTACTTTTTTTTTTTAAGATTTTATTTATTTGACACAGAGAAAGAGAGAAATCACAAGTAGGCAGAGTGGCAGGCAGAGGGAGAGGGAGAAGCAGGCTTCCCGCTGAGCAAGGAGCCCAATGTGGGGCATGATCCCAGCACCCTGGGATCATGACCTGAGCCGAAGGCAGATGCTTAACTGACTAAGCCACCCAGGTGCCCCTCACTTATACTTTTGATATATTTAAGAATCCACTGTCAAATCTAGGGTCATGAAGATTTACCGCTATGTTTTCTGGTTTTATGAGTTCTAGTATTTATATTTCAGTTGTTGATTAATTTCTCATTAATTTTTGTATATGATGTGAGAGTGATATAACTTCATTTTTTTGCATGTGGATATCCAGTTGTCCCAGAACCATTGTTGAAGAGAATCCATACATTTTTGACAAATTTTGATTGACTGATTTGATAGACCAAGAAGGTCAACATTATAGTTTTATTTTGTATTTCTCTGTTAGGAAAAGCATAGCTTTGATTTCAGCAAATTTGTTCTTCCTGTTTTAAGTCTCTTTTAATGCACCTTGTCCTGTTACCAATTTGATTTTAATGTTTTTCTTATACACTAGAATATGTTACTGGTATAATAAATGTTTATGAATACAGTTTACAAGGATTAGGACAAGTTACGAAACACCTCTTGTTTTACATTTACATCTTTGTAAAATTAACTGAATCAAGCCAGATAGAGTAATTGAGTGTAAATATCAAAGCCTCTTAGTTTATGTCACTAGAGTTCTTTTTTTAATTTTTTTCCAGAATATGTCTGGCACATAATAGTTATTCAAAGAATGTTAGTTGAATTAATGATTTTAAAGGTAATTGTTTTAAAAGATTTATTTATTTATTTGAGAGACAGAGTGAGGGCACAGGGGGAGGGGGACAAAGGGAGAGGGAGGGAGAAACTTAAGTAGGCTCCGTGCTGAGCGCTGGGCTTGATCCCACAACACTGAGATCACCACCTGAGCCAAAACCAAGAGTCGGTGCTTAACTGATTGCGCCACCCAGATGCCCCTTTAAAGGCAACTTTAAGGCAGGTTATTACAGGTCTTGATAGTAGAGGTCAATAGCATAGATTTTAAAAAGTGATACAGATTCAATTTTTAAGTCCTTTGAATCTTTTGTGAATTTCTAAGCCCCAGTTGCCTGCCTGATGGGCTAATAAAATTGCTTTTGACTCCTGGAATGCAAGGAGGAAAGTAGTCAAATAATATTCTGAATGCTGGAAAAATACTTTGTAGTCTTTGAAGTGAGTGTTTTGTCTCCTAGAGGAGGAAAATTCTAAGTCATTGTCTTTTATTATTTTCATTGAAACTTCTAAAAAGTAGTCACTCATTTTAATTACAGTTATTAAAATTATTAGTGGCGTAATGATTTCTAAAATAATTTCTGGAGAGCATTTCCTCATTTAAATTGAAGTAACATATTAATATTTTACCTGTTTCTCAGTTATTTCTGAAAACTATAATTTATGACAAAATTTTCTGTTATTTGTTTTTCTTTTATTTTGATATTTTTCCTGATCTTTTGTTGTTGATGATTTTTAGCCAACAGAAGCTGTACCTCCCTCTTCTCCCACTGTCCCTGTGATCCCTGTCCTGCCAGTCCCTGCTGAGAATACTGTCATCCTACCCACCATACCACAGGTTTTTATTAGTTTCTTTTTTCTTTATAAAAATTTCATTTGCTTTTAATGTTTCATTTGTATTCTTTTCAAACTGTTTTAATTATTTCCCTGTTAGACTTAGTAATTCACTTTGGACTTCAGCTGGTGTTTTTAGGGAATTAAATATTTGGGATTTAATATAAAACAGGTTCAATATGTGCCATTTTTTTAGGTTAACTATGAAATAGGGCATATTCTAAACTTCATCATATTGAACCTCCTTAGACTTGTTATCATGTATTTTGTACTTATAAATCTGTTTGAACCAGTTTTTATTTGCTTTAGGAACTTTTATTTTCTAAAGATAATAAAAATCATTATCCTCATACAGGATGTGTCATTCATATAACTTTTTGTTTCCCAATATATATTTATCTTCTTTGGAAATAATTTCTTTTTCTATCATTTGGTTAGATAACATGCACATTTATTAGTTAAAAAAGAGCCCGTACATGTAAAGTATATGGGAACTCTTCATGCTACCTCTGCAACTTTTCTGTAAATCTGAAATTATTCTAATAAAAGTTTATTTTTAAAAGGGTAACGTGTGCGTATACACACACACAATGGAATATTACTCAGCCATCAAAAAGAATGAAATCTTGCCATTTGCAACAACGTGGTTGGAGCTAGTGTATTATGCTAAGCAAAATAAGTCAGAGAAAGACAAATACCATATGATTTCACTCAGATGTGGAATTTAAGAAACAAAACAGATGAACATATGGGGGTGGGAAAGAGAGGGAAACAAACCATAAGAGATTCTTAGAGAACAAACTTAAGGCTGGTGGGGGGGGATGGGCTAGATGGGTAATGGGTATTAAGGACAGCACTTGTTATGATGACCACTGGGTATTGTATGTAAGTGATGAATCACTGAATTTTACTCCTGAAACCAACATTGTACTGTATGTTAACTGACTAGAGTTCAAGTAAAAATTTGAAAATAAAAAGGTAACATGTGACAGTTAAAAAATAAAATGAAATGCTAGACAAATGTTAGAGAATCTGAACGTTTTTAGCTTCACAGCTTCAGTAGTTCCAAGGGATGACTTATTAAGACATTAACTACCCTATCAACTAAGTCATCCAAAGTGAAAATAATGATAGTATTATTGCATATAATAACTCAGATCTCTGTTGTAAACAATCTCAATCTCATTTAAAGTATAAATAAATGCATCTTTAGCTATTTTTACTATTACTGATTTGTGCATAAAATCTAGATAAAAATTGTATGCTTACTGTGTAAGTTCCACTGGAATTAAAATGGGATATCAATGGTGATTACTTGTCTCAGTGCCCTTCCCCTCTCCTAAAAAATGAAAATCAATACAAAACAGGATTCTAGGGGAAATTACAGATACTACATTAAGACTTCAGTCTGTGTTATTATGTTACTACTCCTACATAATCTTTTACCCTTTATGAAAATCATTAAAAGTTAAATCATTGTAAATGATTGAATAGATAGTCCAGATGGATTTTTTCTCTGTGTTGCAGAGAAGAAATTGAATTTATAAATAAAATATAATTCTAAGTAAGCAGCCTATGTGTTATTGTAATATTGTAATAATATAACATCTCTTCAAGCATCTAGGATTTAGTAATACAGTATTTTTTTAAAGTAGGGGATTTAGAAGTTTATTTTACTCTTGTCACTTCAATTCATCTTTTGATGTTAAAATAGTTTCCTAAAATCCTTGGAAATTTTTTAGTAGTTTCTGTTTTTATATTCCATAAGGAACCTGTCCTTTCCTGCTCAAAGACCTCTGACTTACTTATTCCAAGTGTCCCTAACAACATCACACTATATTTGGAAATTGTTGAGATATTACATAGCCTTTTAGTTATAAATGATAGATCTTAGAGGCAGATTGATCAGGTTTGGAATTCCAGTCCTACCACTTTACCAGCTGTGTAATTCTGAGCAGTTTCCGCTTCTGTTTACTCATCTGTTAACACTGAAGATGATAGTAGTACTAGCTTGAGATGTTGTTGAAGGAATAATAATGGACGTGCAGCTGGCACATAATCTTGGCTGTTCATATTATTAGTGTTATCTCATATTTCTTTGAGACAGTAAACCAGGGAACAAATTAGAAAAACAAATGAGGATATGTGCACAAGAGAAGGCTTATTTATTCTACTTTGCCTCATTTTAAGTTTTAAATACACTATGAAAGTCCATGTAAGGTAGATTAATCATGTATGTTGTATAATGTGAAAAGCCTATAGGTGTGCCTCATTTTTCCAGAATCAGTTACGTGTGTTCCTGATTAATCAAGTATAATATGGACATTATAGAAATTAGTTATAAGTGATTAAAATGTCCTCAAATACATTTGGAAGCTATACTTAATCTATAACCCAATTTTAACATTTTAAATGGAAATAATTTTTCTTCTAAATATCTACTACTTTACATTTTAGATGCATCAGGATGTAATAGAAATAGAAGTAGAAGACGTAAGATTTGGAGTCTAGTCCTACCTTTGCAATTCAAACAAGTTAGTTAACCTCTACATTTTATACTCCCTTCATCTATTAAAATGGGGGATAATGCCTCCCTGACTACTTTAAGATGAGGTTGAGGATTAGGCAAGTTAGATAGAGAGACAGAAAGCCTAATTATAGACTGTGTGTGTGTGTATAGTCTAATTGTAGAAGTTTTATACTTTTCAGAGTACTTTTATATTGATCTTTTAAATTTTTGAAAGCTTTCCACAGTAGGAATTATTATGCTTTTTCACAGCGGTACAGAAAAAGGCATAATGAATGGCTGCTTGAAGTTGCATGAAGAGCACAGATTTTATAGTGAGACCTGACTACCACTTCCTAGCCTCACCCTTTTCTGGCTGTGTGATAGTGGAGAAATGACTTCAGCTTCTCATAGCCCCAGTTCTCCACACAGATACTGACCTGTTAAATGTCTTTTTTCCACCCTAGAGTAAATACTCTGCTTTAAAACCAGGTGCTTTAGACTCTATTTCTACCAATTGTAGGGATCTGTCATGTAATTAAGATATTTTAAAAATGCTTTATAACTAATTTGTTTGTGTAAAATTCTTTGTACATACATATGTGCTTTGGAGGGATTGGTGTTCATTCGATTTTTTATTATTGTTCCAATCATGTCATTAACTAAGATGAATATAACATTGTCCTTGTCCTCTAGGAACCTACTGTCCATGCAAGAGACAAGTTAACAATTCCCACATGACATGAGAGTAGTTACATAAGAGGTACAGCCAGTGTAGACCATTTTTTATTGCTTTTGGACCATTCAAGTTTCACAAAACATCTGAGCATTTAATCTCAAATCATTTGATCATTAGTATAGTCTAAAGTATGACTTGATATATTTTCATTTTACTGGGTAATCTTAAACAGAAGAGCATACTTCGAGTTACCTTGACGAGCCTTTTTAACCACCCACTAATATCTGACTGCAGTGCCCTTATTCTATTTGTATTTTGAGTTTGTTTTACATTTTCAAGTAATTTCAGACTTAAGAAAGTTTCAGTAATAGTGCAGTGAATTCCCATAGACCTTTGCCCAGATCCCCCAATTCTTAACATTTTTACCTACCGTATTTGCTTTATCATTTCTCTTCCTATATAATTATATTACTTTTTATGAATCATTTCAAAAGAAGTTTCCCTCATGTCGCTTTTACCTCCAAATACAAAGATTTTGTAACACTAAATATTTTTTCCTAAGAACAAAAATATTACCGCAGTACATGAGCTACATCAGAAAATGAACAGTAACATAAGACTAGTATCAGATTAATCTGCAGACATTAATTATATTTTGCCAATTGCCCCAGTAATGTTCTTTATAGGAAAAACAAAAATAGGTCCTTTGGCCAGTCCAAGATTTCACATTGCCTTCATGACACTTTAGTCTCCTATAATCTGGAGTAGCCCCACTGCCTGTCTTTCATGAATGTGGCATTTTAGAAGAAAGCAAGCTAGTTATTTTGTAGAATATATTTCAATTTGCCTTTGATGCACTTGCATAATTAGAGGTCATATATTTTTTCCAATTTTTTTTAGCTGTGGTAAAATACACATAATGTAAAAATTTACCATTTTACAACCATTTTTAAGTTTACATATCAGTGGTATTTTTTTTTTTAAGATTTTCTTTATTTATTTGAGAGAGAGTGAGCAAGAGAGAGAAGACAAGCAGGGGAAGTGGCAGAAAGCAGAGGGAGAAGCAGGCTCCCCACCAAGCAGGGAGCCCGATGCAGGGCTCCATCCCAGGACCCCAGGATCATGACCTGAGCTGAAGGCAGACACTTAACCAATTGAGCCATCCAGGCGCCCCTACATATCAGTGATATTAAGTACATTCATACTGTTGTGCAACCATCACTGTCATCCATCTACAGAACTCTTTTCATCTTTCATATGTGAAAAACTCAGTGCAAACATTGTGCTCAGTGGTGAAAGACTGATAACATTTCCTTTAAGAATATGTAGAGGGCGGGCGCCTGGGTGGCTCAGATGGTTGGGCGTCTGCCTTCGGCTCAGGTCGTGATCTCAGGGTCCTGGGATCGAGTCCCGCAT